GAAGGGAAGGGAAGCCCCGGCAAAGACATAAGGAAGGGATGAAGGGATAGAAATAGGGCAGAATAATCTTTCTGATCTGGCAACTGGGGCTCCCCCCCCAAAGAGTTGATGCAGAGTCAAGAGAGTTGTCTTGCTGACCTCTTGATGTATGGACCTATAACTCCCATCATCCCTGCTGTGCTGGCTGGTTGGGGAATGATGGGAGTTCCCATCCTATGTACTTGAAGGGTGTCTTGGGCAACGGTTTGACCTTCAGGTCAGTTGGAGCCCCCTAGGAGGACATGAAGCTGGATTTCATAGAGTCTTGCTGCTCAGATGTTCTGGGGGATGTTGAACAGAATGAGAGACTTCTGTGACCTACAGCCTGTGAGGTGGGGCTAGAATGAATTCTCCCCATGAGAGGCTGATGACTTGCCTAGGGGGATCTCGGCAGCATCGGCCATTGTCCCTTGTCTAGCTCCTTGTTCCAAGTTCAAGGTGACCTCTCGGATGTCCTCCAAGGTGCAGGGAGGGGGAAAGCGTCCACCGGCTAAGGCAGACCATGCCCTCCCATCATCCTTGCCTCTTCCCAGCAAGGAAGAGGAGCCTTGTTTCTGATGGGCACAGGCTCCAGGGGAAGCTGTGCTGAGCTGGGAAGATCTGAGATTTCACAGCGTTGCCAGGAAAGCATTTGATGCCACTGATGTAGCAAATGTTTTCTGTGTCTCGTGTGTGTGTGTGTGTGTGTGTGTGTACACGTGCATCTGTGTGTCTACGTTGGTCAGGTCAACAGTAGCTGTTTGTTGTGCGGCCATCACCGCTCAGGAAAAAAGACATTTCCCTTTGTTCCCAGGGCCCAATGGTAGGACCGGGCACTCAGGTCTCATGACACCGAGGGCAAAAGGGGAGGGCATTGTGTGTGAGATGGGTGCTGCAACTGGAGGCCCTCAAGGTGGTGTAGATGATGACTCCCACCATCCCATGTCTCTGGCCAGGCTCTCTGGGCTGATGGGAGCGGTGGTCCAAATATCTGAAAGGTCCAGCGCGCCCACCCTTGGCTGTCTGAATACTAGCGAGGAGGGAAGAGATGAAGTTTCACAAGTGTGCATACAACAGGGGCAGGGAAGTCATGACTCTATGGATATTCCTGGCCTACAACTCTCAACAGTCCCAGGCATCATGGCCAATGCTGATGGATGTTGGGTAGCCCCAGGAAGCCCCAGAATAGCCCTCCTTGGAGCTGGTGGCACCACCTTCCCAACCAGGAGGCTCTCCAGACATCTGGGCTAATACCCAGAATTCTCAGTCACATTGGCTGGGGAATTCTGGGGGTTGAAATCTACATATGGAGAGAGTCTCCAGGTTCGGAAAGGTTTGTTTAAGAAAGCTATCGTTTACTATTTTAATGTTAGGCTCAAAGATATACTTCAAATTTCAGCCTGCCAAATATTGAGGTATTCCATATGGATTATGGTGAGAGAAACAGTTCCTCTTCAGGTGTTTCAAATGCAAATACTGTATTTTTTATATGCAAGTATCAGCCTTGATATAGAGAGCAACTGCAAGGTAAAATCTCTTTTCTCCATGAAGATTCTTATATGTTCAGAACTCAGGTAATTTGGGATCTGAACGGTGCTGAAATCCTCATGGATAGAGAAGGGTTCAAGTTCAGTTAGGGATGAGCAATTCGGTCTAAATCTGGTCTGTTTTACTGTCAATGTTAGGAAGATAGAATTCTGGTCCATTATAGTCTAAATACATTTTTAAAAACTCCACCAAAGAATCCCACTTTTGTTCACACATTTCTTTAATGTAGGAGCCTTTGTGTTCATCTTCCCCTAATGAATGTAGCTGTTAATGTAAGCCCAGCCAGAAAACTTTTTTAAAAGGTGAATTTAGCTGATCATACTTTTTTGGGTTGCATACATTTCCCCTCCCTTAACCCCAAAGCAAGCTCTTTGAAATGTTCTACCTCCCTTTTATAATACATCTTTCAGAAACATGTTCTTTTTTAGACTTTCCGCTTTCCCAAAAATGGAGAAATGTTATGTTTTGGGGGATTTTTAAAAAGCAAAACACTTGAGTTCCCTTGGTGCTGTTTTCCATGCTATGGTATGGAATTTGGCAGATCTTGTAAATTTGCTCCCACGGAAATCGGTAGTGGGTTTTTCATGTCCCTACTGTACAGTTACCTTCTACCTGAGGGACAGGAATAATGATGGTGAGAAGTCCCATATTCTTCTCTACTGCCCTTCTTTTAAGTCGCTCCCACACCAGGAGTTGCTAGAAGCTCTGTAACACAAGGGGAATATCCAGAGAGCCCAGTCACGACACCATTTTATCTTAAATTTTAAGTGAGAATGTGAGAAGCTGTCAAGATGTCAGGCAAGGTAACCCAAGATTACATAAGTCTCTTAGGGGTGAGGTCACTGTAATCTTGCAATCTTGGTCATTTCATATGATTTCAGCCGTTTCATTTTCATTCTTTCAGCACCTAGGAATATGGTGGCAGTTCCCCTGCTCTGCATGTATTTTAAGCACCTGAAGGTTAGAGAAAGATTAAAACGTCCCCAGATTTCTACTCTGCTAAACATGCCAGGAGAAGGTTGAATGGAATCTAAACTTAGCAAGAAGAAGAAAGGGAGTCTGCTGTAGCGGGTCTCATGGAAATACCCACTGCCTAACAGAGACTGTCAAATGACATCAAGGGCTCATTTCAAACTACTCGTTCTGGGCTGATGTTCTCATGAGCTAGGGCATCTAAACATGCCAGGATATATGTGGTTACTGGGTGGTTTCTTTGAGGTGAGAGTAGTTGGAGAAAGTGGGGTTCCACAGGACTTGTGATCATCGAAGGATAACTGAACTGCAGTCTTCCCAGAGCACCCAGTGCTAGTAAATAATCTGCAGAAGTTGTCTGTGGCAGAAGGTTCCTTGGCAACTCTGTGGCCATGACAATGCTAGGATCCAGTAACCAAGTGATGGGGAAAAAAATATCAGCCAAGATTTTTTTTAAAAAAAGTAAGTCCAGAAGGATATGTGTGGTTATTGGATGTGGATTTGTCTTGGAAACCCAACTTTGCAATTAAACTATTTTCTCCTTCTTGTTCCCAAGATGTTTTGGACCAACTCCCATTCAAGTCTAAGGTGAGTGGAGCATTCTGGGAGCTGAACAACCCATCTGCAGGGCATAAGTTTAGGGAAGGCTGACCTTGGGCTCAGATGATTGGGATGAAGACTACCTTTCTACAAAGGGGCTCCTGTCGACATAATGCCCTCCTTTCACCAAGGGCTTTCGACCAATCCTGACCTCCCTTTGCTGTTGACTTAACTCACGCTGACCTGTGTACAGGCCCTTCTCTTGAGAATCACGGGCACCTGTCCTTTAGGGCAACTCTAGAGGAAGGTAGACATGGAGGCATCTCGTGAAGCTAAGTTGGTTAAATATGGTCTCTGTCATCCACTCCTCTCCCCACAAGTTCAAACAGAGTGGGAAGGGACAGAGAAGCCCAACTCTTGGGTCCACAGCTAGCATTTTTACCTCTCCTCTCAACCGGGCTGAGGGCATGCTGTGGGTATGGCTGCGTTTCAGATCTTGCCAAGGCTCCATCTTCTGTACGCAAAGGGCTATAATGCTATTTTCTGAAGCAACAACAGTTTACAAAATGAAAAAAAAACACAAAAGTGGCTGCCCTCCATCAACCCCTTCCAAACTTTGGAGGGGTACCCCATCCAACAGCTGGTTTTTACCAGATTTTGCGTGTATGGGTTTGTGTGTGCGTATGTGTGTGTGTACAGCAAGGGTGTGTTTCCTGTGCAGCTGTCAACCACAGCATGCACTTCCCACGTACGCCCTCGCCAAGACCCATCAATCCCAACTGTCTCTAAGTCCAGATGTTTGGCAGCACAAGACAGCCTCACACCATCATCCTTTTAGCTGGATATTGATGAGGTCTGAAGGGGGGGAGTGTGAGGGACCACCTAACTGCCTTTTCCATTGCCCTCCAGGCAAGCTCTCAATTTTAAGCCACGCCAAATATCACAACCAGCTTTGGTGTGGGACCTGATCCCCTGTGTTCCTTCACTGTTCCTACTTGCTTGTCGATCTTTATGTCTCGACGCACCGCGTCAGAGTCTCTTGGGGGGGGGGCACAGCTCTTCTCCTTTTCCTCTCTTTGCGCCTCCCCTTCCTTTCACGAGCCTCTGAGTCGGTGCTGGATGCTAGAATTTTTTTTAGAAATAGGCAGTGCACAGATTTTAGATATTAGCAGCAATGTCTCCTTTTTGCCTTAGGCACCAAATCGTCCTTGATCTTTTGTGCAATAATGTAGATAAGGATTAAGAACACTATATAAACCTTGTTTTGGTTTTATTTTTTGCATCTGGGCTGAGGGGCTGCTGAGGGAGCATTGTAGGGGATGGAAAATTTGGGTGTGTGTTAAGTATGAGATGTTTTCCATGACCTTCGTCCTTGTTCACCGTTCTCCTCTGTCGGTTTTCAGACCTTTCTCCCCCATGTAAGAAAGCTACTTGGGTTTTTTTTTTTCCTGTGTTAAAAATATGTTACCTCAGTTTCTGTCACTGTTGAAATAGAGGAATGCTTTTTTTTATATATAAAAAATAATAAACATGACAAAAATGCTAACAGGTAATTTTTAAAAAGAAAAAAAAAAGAAAAAAAAGGGTACGTTATGGAAAATAAGAGTTTTTTTTAAAAATTAAAATGTGGTAATTTCCTGTGGTAGCACTGA